AGGAAGCCGGGGTGGGGCAGGGGCAGGTGAGGGTGCCTCAGGCTGGTGCTGAGAGGGGTGGGGCTTGAAGGGGAGCGGGCTGAGGCACGGCAGGGTGAGCTGCCGAGATCCCGGGCTGAGGAGGGGTTTGACTGGTCAGTCTCCATCGATGGAGGCAAGCTCAGATGCGCCCGAGGTGTGTGTGCACGTGTGGAGCTGGGCTCGGGGGAGAGACTGCGGACAAAGGAACCTCAGGGTCCTGCCTGGCCGGGAAGCTGTGGCTTGAACTTGAGCTTGGCTGGAGCGCTCAGATCCGGGGCCGTGCTGGGGGACGGGAAGGTACCTCCTGTCCCCTACTGACCTACAGAGCGTAAGGTGACATGACTTCCTACAGAGCCAGAGCAGGGCCAGCCCCGCCCCCACAGACACACCAGGCACAGCCCCTGCCCCCACCAGGGATGCCCACCGGCCCCTCTCGTCCACAGAAGCTGCGCCAGGATATCTTGCTCATGAAGCCGTATTTCATCACCTGCAGGGAGGCCATGGCGGCACGCCTGCTCCTGCAGGTCAGCCCGCCTGCCCCGGGGGTGGGGGGAGGGGATCTGTCGGGGAGGGTGGCGGGGGAACAGACCAGGGCCGTGGGGGGATGGCTTGATGCCTTGCATATGTTGTGCTGTTAGCAGAAGGTCTCCACACTGTCCCCGGGAACACTAGGTCTGCCGTAAGCAAACAGGCATTGTACCCACAAAAACCTGCTCTCATTCCATCCACGTGAGGAGCGCTGAGAGGAGTGGGTCTCATCCTGCAGCCTTCAAGGGAGTCTCCATGGAGTGGACCAGGCACGGGCCAGCCCAGGAAGGGCTGTGACCACAAAACACTTTTCAAGGCTCACCTGTTTATTTGTTCTGCAAATACTCACTGGGGGCCTGCTGCAGGCAGGCAGTGTCTGGGTCCCGGGGGGCAGGGAGCAGAGCAGTGCCCTTCGGGTTGGGCAGAAAAGAAAAGTAGGAAGCAGCGTGGCGGGGGGTGGCGAGGTGTGTGGATGAGATACAGTGGGGAAGGGGGCCCAGCTGCTGGCGAGCCGGGGGTTGGGCAGCGCGAGGGCGCTGGCCCGCCACCAGGGTCACGCTGTCCGGGCCCACAGCTCCAGCATCGGCAGCACTTCGTGGAGAGCGACGAGATGTACTCCGTGCAGGACCTGCTGGACGCACGCACAGGCCGCCTGGGCTGCTCGCTGGCGGACACCCACACGCTGTTCGCCAAGCACATCAAGCTGGACTGCGAGGTGGGCCCCCCCGCGGGCCAGGTGGGGAGGGCGGGAGGGGGGCTCTGGCGGACGTGCCCCCCACCCTGGGAGCGGGTACTGACCATCCCGCCTCGCCGCCAGCGGTGCCAGGCCAAGGGCTTTGTGTGTGAGCTCTGCAGAGAGGGTGACGTGCTCTTCCCCTTCGACAGCCACACGTCTGTGTGCACCGACTGCTCCGCCGTCTTCCACAGGTCGGTGCTCGAGACCCTGACCCCCGGCCCCCTCCGACAGACGCGGGGAGAGGGAGGGAGGGAGGGAGACACTGGGGCTTGATCTTCGCCGCCTGGTTTCAGGTCTCTTTGCCTTGATCCTGAGACGTGGACTTAGACCCTGATGGTGAGATTCAGCTGAAGTTCCGCTGGGAAGAAGCCCCCGTGGGCTGGGGGAGGGGCGCGGCCCAGACCGCGCGGGCCGGGCGCCTCCGGCTGGCTTCCCTCCCCCGCCGGGACTGAGGTGTAGCTGAGGCCAGGGCTTCCTAAACTTCTTAGCTCCCGTGATTCTTTTTCAAACATTCCCTAGGCCACAAGGAATACCTGACATTTTTGTTTATTAAGTACTTAGGTTCAAACAACTTAAGCATTTATGTCCTAAAGGCTTGTGGATGTTTGGAAGAATGATACACGTAAATCAGAAGAAAGATTTGAATTCGTTAAGCATAGTTACCAATAGGCGTGCGCCTGCTGGGCCCACACAGCTTCTCACACTGGGCTCAGATGGGACCCCGCCACCCCTGTTTCAGTCCACACTGGTTTTTCCTGGCACTTGGTGTTCCTCAGAGCCACCGTCGACCTCATAGGTCTGCAGAGTTGGGATTGCGGTTGCAGTGACTATAGCAGGAGCTGTTGTTAAAACCGTGAGCTCCCTTGAGCTAGCAGCTTGCATGGTGTCTGTCCTGTCAAATACTGCTACGCCCCCTTCAAACATTTAAACTGCCGTGGGGACCGTGTGCACCTCCACAGAGCCCTGAGTGGAGGCTCTGCATGGCAGTGGGGACAGGTCGGGGGTCACTGAGCTCTGAGCAGAACCCTCCCTGTCACAGGGCCACAGGCAATAGGTGTGGAGCCGTTAGGAAGGGCCCGCACACAGGGACAGGACAGCAGGCCTGGCAGGCACGCCTGGGTGCAGCCCTCTGCACTGACCCTTTGGGAGAAACTCTGCTTCAGTTTCCCCGTCCGTCCGGGGGGATACTGGGACCTGACTTAAGCAGCTTGTGAAGACTCGGTGGTAGAAGTCTACGTGCAGGGAGCCGTGTCCCTTCCCGGACTGACCCTGTCTCCCTGCCCCCAGGGACTGCTACTACGACAATTCCACCACGTGCCCTAGGTGTGCCCGCCTTACCTTGCGGAAGCAGTCACTCTTCCAGGAGCCTGGTCCAGACGTGGACGCCTAGAGCAACGGAACCCCTCGTGGGCCTGTCTGGGGCCCGCCCTGCCGGTCGTTGCCAAAGTCAAGGTGTTTCTTGTGCTCTGGAGACCCTAGGCTACAGCCCCTGGACCTCTCCCCAGCACCTGGGGGACGATGGTAAGCTCTGGGGGATGACTGGCCTCGTGGGGCATCACAAGGACCATCATCCCCTGGCGCTTACCGGGACTTGGGGCAGCCATGCCTGGCTGTTTTCCGGCTGCTGTGTGGGCCAGGATGTGCAACCCCTCCCCGAACTGCAGAGCTTTAAGGGGAGGGGAGTGGGGGAGGCAATCTTCTCATCTCCCCTTGGCCAAGAGCCCCCCCACACCCTCGGGACCAAGGCTGCTGGGCCTGGGCCACCCTGGAAATCCTGGAGGGCTTCCGGGGAGCGGCCGACAAGACTGAGGATGCCAGCTGCACACACTCAGCCTTGGCCTGAGTTTTATCTGCGGTGGATGGTTTGGGTTCTATGTGGAGGCTCCCTCCCCCAGCCCCTTGTCTCTCTGGGGACCTCTGGTTGTCCCTGGCTGGGGCTGTTCATAACTTTTTCCCAAGGGCCCTGCCCCTGCCTCCCACCAGGGTTCTCTCTCTGGGTCCTCCTCTGGCGGGCCAGTCCAAGGGTTACTGGCTTTTTCTACACAACGTGGAAGGAAGGGGCCATCTAGCTGTCACCGCTGGGTGGACTGGCCGCCGCTCCTGCCTTGGCCCAGCCCAGCTTACCCTGGTGTTCCAAGCTGGGGGGCTGGGGGTCCCACCTAGAGAGGCTGCCCTGCTTCCAGGTGCGGAGCAGGGACTGTGCCCCCAGGGGAGGTCAGGGTTAGGTGAGAGGACTGGTGACAGTAGGCCCGGGACCCAGTGTGCCGAGGAGCTGCGTCCTGCCACCACGGTGCCTGCCTGCAGCGGCCTCGGAGACCCCGACCGGGGGCCTTCTGTTTGGGAGCCTGAGGTCAGGCGCCGGAAGTCTTTGCTCCAGCAGAGGGAGCCCGGGATGCAGGACTGACCCCCAGCTATCCAGTGGGAGAGCTGCGTTTGCGGGGACCCTTGGGAGACCCTGCCGTCCAGGGGAAGGCCCGTGGGAGGAGGACGTCTCAGGACATGGCTGCGCAGGTCTTCCTGCCCTCCTCCCCGCCCTGGAGTGTGCTATTGACGCACAGGTGGTGGGCGGTGGGCAGGGGGTACAGCCACCGGGGCGTCCATCACCTTTGACTGGGAAGCCCGAGCAGAGGCTCGGCCAGCAGAAAGGAAAGGCCAGCCTAGCTAGCTGGTGGGCCGACGCGGGTGGTGGGTAAAGACAGCGCCACCCCGTCCTCACCCCTCTGCACCCCAGGGAAGCCCTGTCCGGTGGCTTTAGGCAATCCCCTCCATCTGTGCTGAGCACAGTGGGAGGCTGGCCCCCATCGGGACCCCTTTCTTCTCGGGGTTGAGCGGGGGTTAAAGGCTAAATGCCCTCTTCCTACAACCCAGATCTGCACACGTCTCACCGCAGCGTCGCATTTCTGTCATAAGGATATTGGCTATCCCCGAATTTACCGTGTAACCAGCACATTATTCCAGTTACTATCACTGTGTCCACAAGAAACATTAGTAGACTGCCATTTGTTGGGCAAAGTTGGCTCTTTTTTTTTTTTTTTAAACTACCCCCATTACCTCTGCCCCATCTCCCCCTTCTGGATGACAAATTCTTTAAACAGAATCATGTGTGGGTCTTTCTGAGTCCAGCTCATGGTAGCAAGAACCCACCAAGGAACCAGTTAGCATGGGCAGGCCCTCCCAGGAGAGCTGTGTAATGGGCTGCAGCCCCTGTCTCACTAAATCTGTGTTCTCCAGACCGTGGTGTGTGTGCTGAACTGGGGACAGGGCAGGGTTTGCTTGACATACGAATCAAACACAGGTTTAGTCAGCCCACAGCCCTCCCCATCCAACGGGGTCGACTGTAATCTGGGCATTGTGCCTAGGCCTCAGTGTGCTGACCCCTCTAAGAGGCACTAAAACACATCCCTGGTGGGGCTGTTTGGGTGCCAGGAAGCGCCGGGCACAGCCTGGCACACGGAGAATGCTCAGTGAGTAGAAGCTACGTCTTGTCTGCATAACCCTCCCGGTGGAAAGACTGTCTCGTTAACGCACCGTAAGCAGTACAGGTCCCAGGTCTAGCTCCTGGGAGCCTCTCGCGTCTTCACAAGCTGGACCCACTGACAGGGCCCTTGGACTTCAGGAGAACCCTACACCCCCTCCCAAATTACATTCAAACCTCTGTGTATGTACATTTCTCTAGAGATATGAGCCCTGGTTTTGACCAGGATCTCAAAGAAAACATCAGGAATGTGCTTGAGAAGGTGGCTTTATCCAGCTGCATCCAGACAGGCTGGTAGACAGCAGCCCTATGGCCGAGGAGACCTGAGAGCTCGATGGGGGCACAGGCAGAGGGTGGGGGAAAGGCGTGTGAGGGGGTCCGTGGGCCTGGTGCTGGCACCCCCAGCTTCAAACGGGTAAGGCTGCACGTGGGCATCACAGGACACGGCCTCCACCCACCCCCTTCAGGTATGAAAGAGTACTTCCTTTTAATTTTGACAAATTTAGGTTTATAGAAGTGTTGCAAAAACACTTCGAGGTACCCATCTCCTGGATTTCATAAATGTTAACATCTTGCCCTATTTGCTTCATCCTTTCTCCACACTCTTGTGAACCATCTGGCAGTTAAGTTGCCCCTTTGCCTCTAAGTAACTCGTGTGTTACTCCCAAACAAGGATGTTGCCTTACACGGCTGCAGTGCGGTTATAACATCAGGAAGTTGACATTGATCTGGGACCATAAAACCTACAACAAACCGTATTCAGATTTTGCCATTCAGTTGCCATGTCGTTTTAGCTTTTAATCTGGAAGGGTTCATGACACTGACATTGAAAAGCACAGGCTGGGGACGTCCCTGGTGGCGCAGTGGTTAAGAATCTGCCTGCCAATGCAGAGGACATGGGTTTGTGCCCTGGTCCGGGAAGCTCCCACATGCCACAGAGCAACGAAGCCTGTGCGCCACAACTACTGAGCCTGTGCTCTAGAGCCCGTGAGCCACAAGTACTGAGCCTGCGAGCCACAACTGCTGCTACTGTGGCAGCACAACAACTGAAGCCTGTGTGCCTAGAGCCCCTGCTCTGCAAAAAGAGAAGCCACCGCAGCGAGAAGCCCGCACACCGCAAGGAAGAGGAGCCCCCGCTCGCCACATCTAGAGAAGGCCCACGTGCAGCGACGAAGACCCAACGCAGCCAAATAAATTAATTAAAAAAAAAAAAAAGAAAAAGAAAAGCACAGGCTAATTATTCTGGAGACTTTCCTTCAGTGTGGGTTTTTCTGATTGGATTTGGGCTTTGCACTTTTGGTGGGATTTTCACGGAAGTGATGCTGTGTCTGTAGTGTGTCATCTGTCCTACTCCTGGAGATGCTTTGGTCCCCCTGTCTCCTGTGTCCTTTTGACATGTTCCTGGCATTCTTTAGGCATTTGCTTCCTTTCCAGCATAGCAAGGTACTCCAGGCTTATTCTGTAATTTCCCCAGTCCCAGCCCTGGAACCAGTCATGTTTCTGAGGAGCCCCAGAACCTTCTGGTGGAGCATGGCACTCAGGAAACAAGATGTGGTTGTTGGTTACCCTCATGGCTGGGGTAGGAAATAGTACCCCATGTCCATTTCCTTATTGGTCTATAAACATATTAAAAACCATGAGTTTACACTGATACTTCCAATTTCAAAACAACACAAGAGTCATTCTTTCCCTTTTTCATATTTGCAATTCCCTTGCTTGACAGTGAGACACCCAGCTCCATTATTCATAATATACTTATTTGCTCAATCCTAGAGTACACACAAAGCACCTTTGGCATTGCTCACCTATGCTGGTGAAAAACAAGGTTACTAACAAGCGTTTAATATTTGTTTAGATTCTTTTTTGTCTCTAGTCTGAGGGCATATAGTCAAAATAAGGTGTTTAAAATTTACTTGGGTGTTTCTCCCCCTTCGTTGTGGATATGCAATTCATGCGCAACACAGTTCCGTTCACATACTCCACTGTTTTATTTCCCTACCCTTGTTTACTTTTGTTTGTGCGATATGTTAACGTGGTTCCCCAATCAGAACTTCCCAAAAGGTACAAAAGTTACATCCCCCCCACCCCCATTACCAATCTCTTTAGTCTCCAGTTTCTCCTTCCTGTGTTTCTTTTCGTACAAGAGTAAGAGACGTGTGTATTTTAGTTTCCCTTCTTTCTTCCACAAAAGGTAGCACACTCTACTCTTGCATGTTGCTTTTTTTTCAATTAATAATGTATCCTGGAAACCACTCCACATCAGCTGAGTTCTTCCTTATTCTACGATTATGGTAGCTATCATCATTTACAACTGTCTTACATTCCACCGTGCGGAAGTGCCATTTTATATTTGACTATTTCACTTGAGACTTCAGGCTGTTCCGTAGCTCTTGCAGTTACAAACAAGGCTGCAACAAATAATCTGTGCACATATATTTTCTTTTGTTGTCAGTGTATCTTTAGGGTATAATCCTAAAAGTGGGTTGCTAAATCAAAAGAAACATATTTTTCACTAGTGTTCAATGCCCCTCGGTAAGGGACGTGCAAACCTGCACTCTCACCAGCAATGAATGACGGTGCCAGTAACGCCACAGCCACACCAAGAGAATGTGCAGTCATACTTTTTGATCATTGCCGATCTGAATGATGAGAAATGGTATCTGTGTAGCTTTCATTTGCATTTCTCTTGAGGTCAAGCTTATGTTTCAGGATCTAGTTTACTTATTTATGAATTCTATGCTTTGCCCACTTTTCTATTGGATTTTTGGTATTCTCAATCTTTAACAGTCCTTCACTTATCAGGGATATTAGCCCATTATCTGTGAGAAATTTTCTTCCAGCGTGTCATTTACCTTTGACCTTGTTTGTATTTTAGCCTCATAGAAAAGTTTTGTTACCTTTTCATATGGTTAAAC